GCTACTTCAGAGGCTGAGGCAAAAGAATGGCTTAAAGCCAAGAGTTTGAGGTTGCTGTGAGCTGTGACACCACAGCACTCTATCCAGGGCGACAGCTTGAGACTCTGTCTAAAAAAAAAAAAAAAAAAGAAAGAAAGAAAAAGAGAGAGAGCGAGCAAGGGAGTGATAAGGAAACTTATCTGTAATATCTGAAGGCCACTCCATGACTGCAGGGAGGAGTTGGCCATATACTTGGATCCTTTTCTACTGATTCTGGGTCACAGGGCCTTGGCTCATTTAACTGTCCTGTGAAGGAGATCTGGAAAGCGGACCTGGCAAGAGAGTTACTATTCATTGACTATTAGGCTTTCCGTTTGTTACATGATAAGCCTGAGAAGCTGATAGCCTTCCCTTATTTGGGAGGAAAAGAGACTCAGAAGGGAAAGGGGGCTTGTTCCAATTCTCCTGCTAAGCAGTGCAGGCCTGGAATTTAGAACCAGGCCTCTTTCTAAAGGTTCTGCTTCTTGTATACCATGAACAGGGGAGGGTCGTGAAGGGTATGGAAAGAAGGGTTGTCTAAGATTTGCTGATTCCATGGCAGGTAGAGACAGAGAGAGCCCCACCACCATCCTAAGCAAAAGGAAAAAAAATCCCAGTTTATTAGGAATTAGGTATTAGGGGTGAGGTGGCATCCACAGACTGAGACTCTCAAGGAGCAAAAGGAGGGTCTCCATGTTCCTGGGTCAGTGGAGTCTACAGCTCAGCTTCTTTGGCCTCTCTATCTAGACTCTTTTCAGTGCTAGTAGCACATTCCCTAGTGGAGGCAGGGAGAGTCTAGGCTGAGGATGCTGAGCAGGCCTCCCTCTTCCCCCTCCCCATGGCCCCATGGATCATCCGGTACTGCCAGCTCATCTCATTGGCTCACTCTTGGTTACTCATCTCTCCTCTTCTCCATCCTCCCAGCCTGTGGTTGCCATGGAAACATAGAACAGTGACATCACCATAGGGTGAGGACTGGAGAGATGCTGCTCTTGGCAGGCACTGGTCCTGGTGCCTGCCAGATGTTATGTTCACATCTGAATCTGCCAAGGGCAGGAAGAGGGAACAGAAACAGGGACAGGGCTCACATTCTCCCCCAAATATAGTGAGCATAAAAGAGCAAGAAGGATGCAGGCATTTAGAGGGATGAGGGAAGAAATGTACATTCTTAGAAGGGAGAAGGATGAAAATCAGGCGGAAAGGAGATGAGGTGTGGCTTATGGGTCAACCTTGGTGACCCAGATCTGAGCATGGTGGAGAGGTAGGGGTAGGGCAGTGAGGGGAGTTGGTCAAAAGTTTGTCTAGAGCTCCTCAAAGCCCCATGCTGCACAACTTGGACAGACCCCGAGAGAAGGACGGAAGGGATTTTCTGGCAGTGCCCCCCTTCGTGAAGACCTCTGTAGCCCCTTCTTCACAGCGGTAGCAGTTCCTAATCCCATCTTAGAAATAAGCAAATTGAGGATTAGAAAAAGCAAAGCAATCTGCCTAGGGTGACTGACCCAGCAGTGAGGGGCAGAGCTCAGATTAGGCTTTAGTGTCCTGTGCTATCCAGGGAGAGAGCAACAATAGCAGCATGAAGCACAATAGCAGTGAACATTTACTAGGTCAACCATACTCAGCATTTCATTTTCTATATTGTTAGGGACAAAACCTAGCTATATAGTCTGTGTTGTTCTCTAACTCCTGACCTCGAGTGATCCTTAGTCTTAGCATCCCAAGTGGCTGAGACTATGGGCACAAGCCACCTTGCCTAGTTCATGCTTAGCGTTTTAAATGTATTATCTCAATTAATTCCATTACCTCTCCATTTTATTTATTTATTTGCCCGGGGCTGGGTTTGAACCCGCCACCTCCGGTATAGGGGGCTGGCCCCCTACTCCTTGAGCTATAGGCACCGCCCCAACCCCTCCATTTTAAAGATGAAACTGAGTGGCTTAAGTGAATTGCTGAAGGCCACACAGCTAGTACCCAATGAAACCCAGATTGGAATACGGATCTATCTGCCAACAGCTTCAGCCTAGCCCCAGCTCTCCATCACTGCATTGTGAGGACCACAGGACCATGCAAGGAGACAGCATTGACCACTCCACTCAGTCCTTGAGAGGAATGGCCTTGTGTCTGAAGGCTGTGACTCTGAGTCAGAAACTACCCCAATTCCTTCCACACCTGGCACCTCCAACAGTGAAGACCTCAGCCCTGATGCTTGTCCCTATAGCTTTGGCAGAAATGGGCCTCTCTGTCTTCTAGCAATTGAACTGCCCAAAAGAATCAAGACCTTGGGGAAAGAGGGCTCTTCCTCCCTGGCCTCCTTCCCAGTTCGGGGAAGGGAAGAAAGGACTTGGGACTTGTACATGGAGAAACAAAGGCCCACCAGAAGTTGGGCCCACCATACTATATCTGTGTGTGTGGGCATGGCAGAGTTCGCTGCCCCAAGGGCTCCTGTGCTGGCTTCTGTGTTGGTGGTTCCATCTTGGGACAGGCCTCTGCTGGCTGAAGTTCAGCTCAGCACCATTTCCTTGTGTGCAGGGCCTCCTTCTACCCCTCAGCAATTCATTTATACCTCACTTCCTCTGGGAAGCCTTCCCTGAGCCCTCAGGTCAGGACAGGCCTCCTTTTAGTTTTTATTTTATTTTTTTATTTTTTTTGAGACAAGGTCACTATGTCACCCTCAGTAGAGTGCTATGGTGTCACAGCTCACAGTAACCTCAAACTCTTGGGCTTAAGTGACTCTCTTGACTCAGCCTCCCAAGTACCTGGGACTACAGGTGCCTGCCACAATGCCCAACTATTTTTTGGTTGTAGTTGTCATTGTTGTTTGGCAGGCCTGGGCTGGATTTGAACCTGCCAGCTTTGGTATATGTGGCTGGTGGCCTCGCTGCTGAGCTACAGGCCCCAAGCCATTATTTTATTTATTTATTTATCGAGACAGAGTCTCACTATGTCACCCTCAGTAGCGTACTGTGGCGTCACAGCTCACAGCAACCTCTAACTCTTGGGCTTAAGCCATTCTCTTGCCTCAGCCTCCCAAGTAGCTGGACTACAGGCGCTTGTCACAACACCTGGCTGTTTTGTTGTTGTTGTAGTTGTCATTGTTGTTTAGCAGGCCTGGGCCAGGTTTGAACCTGCCAGCCTCGGCGTATGTGGCCAGTGCCCTAACCACTGAGCTATAGGCACTGAGCCCAGGCCTCCTTTTAGTCACCACACTTGTTTTGTGTTTGGCTCCCCAGAGATGAACTAATTAAGTGTCTTGCTCCATATTGTCTCTCTCAAAAGCAGGGCTGGCACAAAGTAGGTGCTTTAATAACTGCTGAAGTAATGAATGGGTTCCTTAGGGATTCACTTTGTTCATCTGTAAAAAGGGGATAGTAGGGTGGCGCCTGTGGCTCAAAGGAGTAGGGTGCGGGCCCCATATGCCGGAGGTGGCGGGTTCAAACCCAGCCCTGGCCAAAAATCACAAAAAAAAAAAGGGGGGGGGCGGATAATAATACACCTACTTCATGGATTTTGTTTTAGAAGTCCAATGAGGCTCAGCACCCATAGCACAGTGGTTATAGCACCAGCCACATACACCGAGGGTGGTGGGTTCAAACTCAGACCGGGCCAGTTAAACAACAATGACAACGGCAACAAAAAATAGCCAGGCATTGTGGAGGATGCCTGTAGTCCCAGCTACTTGGGAGGCTGAGGCAAGAGAATTGCTTAAGCCCAAGAGTTTGAGGTTACTGTGAGGTGTGATGCCACGGCACTCTACCCAGGGCGACATAGTGAGACTGTCAAAAAAATAAAGTAAATAAAAGTCCAATGAGACAATGTTCTTAAAGCCCTCAGCATGCAATAGGTATCAATACAAAGTGGGTCTTTTGTGTGTGTGTGAGAGAGACACTCTGTTGCCCTGAGTAGAGTGCCCTGGCATCATAGCTCATAGCAACCTCAAACTCTTGGGCTCAAGTGATCCTCTTGCCTCAGCCTCCTGAATAGCTGGGACTATAGGCACCTGCCACAGTGCCCAGCTAGTTTTTCTATTTTTAGTAAAGACAGGTCTTGATCTTGTTCAGGCTGGTCTTGAACTCCTGAGCTCAAGCAATTTACCTGCCTCTGCCTTCCAGAGTGCTAGGATTACAGATGTGAGTCACTGTGCCTGCCAAAGTGGGTCTTATTTTTATTGAAAGTGTTTTGTGAACAGTAAAGTGTCAAACTACTGCATAGTAGGCTCTTTTTAGGAAGTGACAAGTTCTGTGAAAGTTCAGGCTTGCTTGCTGTCCTGCAGAGAGAGGTCAGAGAAAGGGCAGTAGGTGGGGGCTGCAGCAATCAGGCAGGTGGCCTTGAAGAGCTGAATGAACTGGCAGAATTCCTGAAGAAGGGTGAGGGGGGAACAACCTGAGCCAAAGCTGTGCTAAGAGGTCAGAAAAGCCCAGAGGGGAGCACTTGCTGGAAGGGGGGTCGGACAGGGAGGGGCGGGGGAAAGGGTTGCCTGCAGGAGACATTCCGAAGGGAGGGGCACGCACGTTTGAGGCAGTGGCTCGGAACAAATGAAGGTCAGGACACTGGTAGCTCAGGCGCAGACGGTGTTCCTGGTGACTGTCCCGGCCACCAGGCAGTGGGAGGGGTGGGGCAGCACAGGCTCAGGAGCCAGCTAGACCACCAGGCTTGCAACCTGGGCTCCAATCCACCCTCTCCTCATTTCTTATCAGTTCCCTTCTGGGCCTCAGACTCTTCACCTGTAAAACAAGGTGAGCAAGGATGCCTGTGCCAGAACAATCAACCAGCACTTTCTCTGGTGTGGGCACCAGCACAAGGGCAAGTTTCCTTTTTCCTCTAGTCTCATCTCCTCTCTGACCCCAAGCTCGGAGGACTAAGGGACAGATATCCATGGCACACGCCGTGGCTCACAGCCCAGTGTCCAGCTGCTTTCTTCTCAGATTTCGAAGAGCGAAGAGCGCCTCGCGGCCAGGGAAGGGAGCAAGTCTTGCCAGCCTGCGGCGGGGACTTGGAAGCCAGGAACCAGCACTGACGCTGACGCAGGCAAATGGGGCACCACTGGCTGGTCCCCTCCCTGCTTGGTAGGTTGGGGGATGGGCAGCCAGCCCCTCTAGGGTGAGCCCTAGCCTGGGGCTTCCTATTTCGGGAGCCGGAGGCGTGGGCCACAGCTCATCATGTGACGCAAGGGCTATTTAAAGCGGCAGCTCCGGCAGGGAGCCGCCAGTGTGGAGTGCTTGCACGCCTGTCTTCTTGTAGCTGCTTTCTCAACCTAGCCCAGCATCACCATGGTGGACGCCTTCGTGGGTACCTGGAAGCTAGTGGATAGCAAGAATTTCGATGACTACATGAAGTCAATCGGTAAGCAAGCCGCGGGGCTCGGGATGCTGGGCTGGGAAACGGCTGACCTCATGCTTAGCCCCACACAGCGCCCCTTCTTGGGCAAAGCCCTGCATGCCTGCAGCATCTCTCCTCGTCGAGGTTGGGGAATTGGGGGCGGGGGTGGGGCATGGAAGTGCCAGAACCTGGCAAGAGGGATACCAAGGTAGGGAGGCACAAGAAGAAGACAGCTGTGCCCTTCCATGTGGGAGACGCTTTCAAGGAAGAGCGGTGGGCTGGGCTCCATGGCTGACGCCTGTAATCATAGCATTCTGGGAGGTCCAGGAGGGTGGATTGCTTGAGCTCAGAAGTTCAAGACTAGCCTGAGCAAGAGCGAGACTCCGTCTCTACTAAAAATACAAAAATTAGCCGGGCGTTGTGGTGGGCACCTCTAGTTCCAGCTATTCAGGAGGTTGAGGCAAGAGGATCTCTTGAGCCTAAAAGGTTGGTTTTCTGTTTTTTTTTTTTTTTTGAGACATAGTCTCACTATGTTTGTCACCCTCAGTAGAGTGCTATAGCGCCACAGCTCACAGCAACCTCAAACTCTTGGTCTTAAGAGATTCTCTTGCCTCAGCCTCCCAAGTAGCTGGGACTACAGGCGACTGCTACAATACCCAACTATTTTTTTTTTTTTTTTTTGTAGTTGTCATTTAGTAGGCTGTGTTTGAACCCCCCAGCCCTGGTGTATGTGGCTAGAGCCCTAACCACTGAGCATGGGCAGGCACCAAGCCTGAGCCCAAGAGTTTGAAGTTGCTGTGAGCTATAATGACACCAGTGTACTCTACCCAGGGAAAACAGAGTGAGACTGCCTCTCAAAAAAAAAAAAAAACGAAGAGAGGAGTATGATCTGGAGATAGGAGAGGGGCTTGGATAATAGGTGGGAAGCAAGCCAGGGAGAAAAAGAGCAGGAGCGTGAGTGGGGTTTCAACCCACCAAGTAAATGGGGTGGATAGGGAGTGTACTATGGCCTAAAGAAGTAGGCACCCCTAGGAGGTTGAGCAGTGGGGTAAAAATGATGAATCAGTACATTGAATCCAGGGAGGTGAGACAGGGACCTGCAGTTAGGAACAATCTCTGTCTCTCCATGTTGGGTTAGGGAAGAGGACTGTTGCTGAAGGATGCACTCTTTCTCGCCACTCAGCCTGACCCTGTCCTGTAGAGATGCGTGACCAGGCCCTAAACCAGTGGTTTTCCACCTTCCTAATGCTGTGACCCTTTAATACAGTTCCTCATGTTGTGGTGATCCCTAACCATAAAATTTTGTTGCTACTTCATGAAGTAGCACAACATGAGGAACTGTATTAAAGGGTTGCAGCATTAGGAAGTTTGAGAACACTGCCCTAAACACTGTCCATGAGCCTAGTGGTCGGGTGGGGCAAAAGGCCCATTATCAGCTGGGCCTTTCCTACAACTGTGGCTCTGCCACCTATGTGAGGGGAAGGGTGGAGAAAGCCACTGGATTTCTGGGGTGCAAAGCAAGGTCAAGACCCATTAAAGAAGGCTGGACTCGGTGGCTCACGCCTATAACCCAGCATTCTGGGAGGCCAAGGAGGGTGGATTGCCTGAGTTTTGAGACCAGCCTGAGCCAGAGTGAGACCTTGTCTCTAAAATTAGCCAGGTTTTGTGGCAGATGCCTGTAGTCCCAGCTACTTGGGAGGCTGAGGCAAAGAGAATCGCCTAAGCCCAGGAGTTGGAGGTTGCTGTGAGCTGTGTGATGCCACAGCACTCTACCGAGGGGAATAAAGTAAGACTCTGTCTCTAAAAAAAAAAAAAAAAAGACAGGGAGGGTCACTGGTCTAGGAGGTACATAGCTATTGTGGTGTTTGGTTTTTTTTTTTTTAAAGACAGAGCCTCAAGCTGTCCCCCAGGGTAGAGTTACATGGCATCACCGCTCATGGCAACCTCCATCTCCTGAGCTCAAGTGATTCTCCTGCCTCAGCCTCCCAAGTAGCTGGGACCATAGGCACCCGCCACAACGCCCAGCTATTTTTTGGTTGCAGCCATCATTGTTGTTTGGCGGGCCCAGGCTGGATTCAAACCCACCACCTTAGGTGTATGTGGCTGGCACCTTAGCCACTTAAGCCACAAGCGCTGAGCCGCTATTGTGGTGTTTGAATGGGAAGACCTCAAATTCAAAGAATCTTACAGATGAGAACCTTGTAGATCACCATACCTTGCCTAGTTTTTTGTTTGTTTGTTTGTTTGTCTTTAAGACAGAGTTTTACTTTGTTGCCCTCGGTAGAGTGGTGTGGCTTCCAGCTCACAGCAACCTCTATCTCTTGGGCTTAGACGATTCTCTTGCCTCAGCTTCCCAAGTAGCTGAGACTACAGACGCCTGCGCAATGCCTGGCTATTTTTTGTTGCAGTTGTCATTGTTGCTTAGCTGGCCTGGGCTGGGTTGAACCCACCACTTTTGGTGTATGTGGCTGGCGCTGTAACCACTGTGCTACGGGTGCCAAGCCCCTAGCCTAGTTTGATAGGGAAATTGAAACAGGAGAATAGTGTTATTAATTTCACAATAGAACTGACATAAATTTTTAGAGCTCCTAGATTGGTAACCTAGAGCTTTTCCACCACCCAATAGGCCCCAGGAGTGGAAAGAGTGGTAGGAACTGCTTAGCTCATGACTGACCTCAGTCTTTTCCCTTCTGGTTTGGAATTCCCAGCTATGAGATTATCCTAGTGCCCCAGGGTGGGGCAGGAAAAACTGGAATGGTGTTCATGGTTGAGCTGGAGTCCATGCCTTCCTCCCCAGAAAGGACGGCAGGTCTGTGGCAGATAGTGCAGAGGAGTGGGAAGTCCTCTCCATACACCTCTCAAATCTGCACCTAACTCTTTCTTGGAACAGGGCCCACACGTGTGACTCTTAAGGTCAAAGCTCCCAATTGCCCCTACACTACCCTGGGCATTATGCCCACTGACTCCAGGTAGCAGCCATTCTTAGAGAAACAATTGCTATTTCTACCCCTCCCTCACCCAAGCAGTTGCTGGGGAAGTTGGAAGGCCCAGGTTTAGTTTTCTTCCAAAGCAGACATTTGGGCCAAAGAGCTGAGTCTGACTGAGCTGCAGCAAATTTATCAACCACTGTTCTTCCCTTTTTCTACCCCAACTTGGGCTAAGGGCCTGGTCTCCCTATCCCAGTGTCTTTGGGCAGCTTATGTTAGGGGGCTAAGATTCCATCCAGCTTTCTACATCATACTGATGGAAAGTCTCAGGTTCACTTCTCAGCTTTCATTTCTTTCTTTTTTATTTTTTTTCCAGCTTTGGTTTCTAAATAGAACTTAGCTCTTCCTGAGTCCCCTTTTCTGTCATCTCTTTTTTTTTTTTTAAGAAACAGAGTCTTATTTTATCGCCCTTGGTAGAATGCTGTGGCATCACAGCTCACAGCAACCTCCTGGGCTCAGGCAATTCTCTGGCCTCAGCCTCCCGAGTAGCTGGGACCACAGGTGCCCGCCACAATGCCCAGTTATTTTTTTGTTGCAGTTTGGCTGGGGCCGGGTTCAAACCCGCTACCCTTGGAATATGGAGGCGGTGCCTGTGCCCCCTTTTTTAGTTTCTTTTGGCTTGGTCCCTTATTCAACCCACAGTGGTTTCCTTCATCAAACACTCCACACCTCTGGGTAGTTCCTAAGCAAATAGATCTCCAGGCGTGGCGATAAGGCTCTGCTGCTCTGCGCTGGGCAGAGTGATTGGCCTTGACTCACAGATACCAGAGGGTAGGACCAAGTCACTCACTGGCTGGCCAGGGTGGGCTGGCATCTGCACAACTGTAGCGACATCCCCGGCCCTTCTTGCTCTGGGTTCTCAGAGGACAAAGAGGCTCAGCCTAGTACCAATGATCACAGCACAATTGGTAGCCTTGGTGCGTGGATTGAGTGTGTATGACAGAATGGCCCAGTGGGAATAGTGAAGTTTTAGAGCCTCGGTTCAAAATCTAATTCAATAACTTACTCCTTGTTTGACTTTAGACAAGACACTTCACTCTTCTCATTTGTAAATTGGGGATAATAAAACCTACCTGCTAGGGCTCTGAAAAGCAGTAAGTAAAACAATGCATGTCAGGCATGTGCAAACTACCTGGCTTTCTGGAAGCACTATGAAGCCTGGCACACAATTTGAAGACTACACACAATACCTTACCACAGTGGGCTGCCTTCTGCTTCACTGTTGCCTTAGAGGATAGCTCAGTATAGACTGCTGAAGGAGAGGGAGCAGTCATAATGAGTTCTTTTTTGAGATAGTCTCACTTTGTCACCCTTGGTGTGTAATGCTGTGGCGTCACAGCTCACAGCAACCTCAAACTCTTGGGCTTAAGCCATTCTCCTACCTCAGCCTCCCAAGCAGCTGGGACCACAGGTACTCAGCCACACCCAGCTATTTTTTGCTGCAGTTGTCATTGTTTAGCTGACAGGTGGAGTTCGAACCGTCCAGCATCGGTGTATATGGTGGGCACTGTAACCACTGTGCTACGGGCACCAAGCCCACCCAGCTATTTTTTAAGAGAGGGCGTCTTGCTCTTGCTCTAGCTGGTCTCCAACCTGTGCACTCAGGGCAGTCCACCTGCCTCTGCCTCCCAGAGTGCTAGGATTACAGGTGTGAGCCACCTCACCTGGCGGAATTCTTTTTTTTCACTTGCTTGCAGGAAACTTAGGACTTTGCCCAGTACTCACCAAAGAAGCTATGCTTGGGTCAAGAGAGATACCACAGGGCCTTGGACTGGAAGTCAGGAGACCTGAGTTTGAGCCTCAACTCATTGTTGCTATCACTTTAGGCCTCTCTTAAATCTATACAATGGAACAAATATGCCTTTTGTACTTACCTCCCAGATCACAGATAAAGGCTTTGGAAAATGTCAAGTTGCCATGTATGGGGGAAACTAATGCTTCCTAGGATAAGGGTAAAAACTTAGAAAAATGGCAAACTCTTGTTCATAAGGCTTTGGAATGCAAAGTCCACACTTTCCTTCTTTCTTCAGGGTATGGCTTGACAACTACTGTGGCCTGACACCACTACTGTGGCTTGACAACTTCTGGCCTTCAAACTCAGATTTGTGCTTGTGACCCTGGGCTTTAATTGTATTGTATCTTGGTTTTTGCATCTGTAAAGTGGAGACAGTCTTCAGAGGGACAGGAAGGACTGAAGGAGATAGCATGTATATGGTTCTTATCACACAAAAAGCACTTAGTAGGGGGTGGCGCATGTGGCCCAGTGGTAGGGCGCTAGTCCCATATACCAAGAGTGGTAGGAGGGTGGCAGGTTCAAGCCCAGCCCCAGCCAAACTGCAACAAAAAAATAGCCAGGCATTGTGGTGGGTGCCTGTGGTCCCAGCTACTTGGGAGGCTGAGGCAAGAGAATTGCCTAAGCCCAGGAGTTGGAGATTGCTGAGAGCTATGATGCCACAGCAGTCTACCCAAGGGTGATAAAGTAAGACTCTGTCTCTAAAAAATAAAAAAAAGCACTTAGTAGGGCAGCACCTGTGGCTCAGTGAGTAGGGCACCGACCCCATATACCGGAGGTGGTGGGTTCAAACCTGGCCCTGGCCAAACTGCAACAAAAAATAGCCGGGCATTGTGGTAAGGTCCTATAGTCCCAGCTACCCGGGAGGCTAAGGCAAGAGAATCGCCTAAGCCCAGGAGTTGGAGGTTGCTGTGAGCTGTGTGATGCCACAGCACTCTACCAAGGGCAATAAAATGAGACTCTATCTCTTAAAAAAAAAAAAGCACTTAGTAGTTTATTCTACTCATAGCTCTGCCACTGACTTGCTATGACATTGCTGGTCCTCAAGTTTTTACCTGCCCAATGAAATCAATAGTCTCTGTTCACCCCACAGAACTAAGAGGAAGACTAAATTAAAAAACAGCCTTGGCTTGGCGCCTGTGGCTCAAGCGGCTAAGGCACCAGCCACATACACCTAAGGTGGCGGGTTGGAATCCCCAGCCCGGGCCCACCAAGCAACAATGATGGCTGTAACCAAAAAATGGCCAGGCGTTGTGGCAGGCGCCTGTAGTCCCAGCTACTTAGGAGGCTGAGGCAGGAGACTCACTTGAGCCCAGGAGTTGGAGGTTGCTGTGAGCTTGATGCCATGGCACTCTACCCAGGGGGATAGCTTGAGGCTCCGTCTCAAAAAAAAAAAAAAGAAACAGCCTTGCAGGGGGGCGCCTGTAGCTCAGTGGGTAGGGCACTGGGCACATATACCAAGGGTGGCATGTTCAAACCCGGCCTGGGCCAGCTGAAACAACAATGACAACTGCAACAAAAAACAGCAGGGAATTGTGATGGGCGCCTGCAGTTCCAGCAACTTGGGAGGCTGAAGCAAGAGAATCACTTAAGCCCAAGAGTTGGAGGTTGCTACAGCACTCTACTCAGGGCAACACCTTGATACTCTGTCTCAAAAATAAATAAATTGGCTCAGCGCCTGTGGCTCAAGTGGCTAAGGCGCCAGCCACATATACCTAAGGTAGTGGGTTTGAATTCAGCCCAGGCCCGCCAAAACAATGACAGCTGCAACCAAAAAATAGCTGGGTGTTGTGGCAGGCGCCTGTTGTCCCAACTACTTGGGAGGCTGAGGCAGGAGACTTGCTTGAGCCCAGGAGTTGGAGGTTGCTGTGAGCTGTGATGCCATGTCACTCTACCCAGGGGGATAGCTTGAGGTCCTGTCTCAAAAAATAAATAAATAAATAAAAACAGCCATGCAGACTGGGTGCAGTGGCTCATTCCTCTAATTCTAGCACTTTGGGAGGCCAAGGTGTGAGGATCACTTGGGGTTAGGATTTTGAGACCAGCCTGAGCAAAATAACAAGGACTCATCTCTACAAAAATTAGAAAATTAGCAGGGTATAGTGGTATGTGCCTGTAGTCCCAGCTACTTGGGAGGCTGAGGTGGGAGGATCAATTGAGCCCAGGAGTTTGAGCTATGGTCTTCCTCTTGCACACACCCAGGCTTGAGAGTTATTCACTGAGCTCCTGTATACTGCTCTCTGTTTCAGCCTACTTACTCATTACCTTTTGCCTGCCCTCAGGGGTGGGTTTTGCTACCAGGCAGGTGGCCAACATGACCAAGCCTACCACAATCATCGAAAAGAATGGGGACACTATCACATTAAGGACACAGAGCACCTTCAAGAACACAGAGATCAGCTTTAAGCTTGGGGTGGAGTTTGATGAGACAACAGCAGATGACAGGAAGGTCAAGGTGAGTCAGAGAAGCGGGCGGTGGGGATGGAGGGTGCTGAGACCCGAAGGAAAATAGGCTGGTAGTCTTTGCTTCCTTATCTGGCACTGAGGTGCCGGCTATTATGAAACAAGGTGCCGGCTATTAAATGAAACAAGGTTAATAAAGCCTGTGTAGTGCTAGAAGGTCACAGGTACTAAATACATGTTATTTCTGTCCTCTTGTTTTCTTCCCTCCTTTCTCGGGAAGCATTGATTAGCTGCCTTGCAAAAGGCAGCACAGAGCCCAGATAGTCTTCTGACCTCAGTGTCTACTCTAGTTCCAACTGGGTGACCTTGTGCATGGTATGCAGAAGGTCTGGATTCTTTCCCCTTCCATAGATGGGAGAGTTATGTGGCCAAGGCTGTGACCTGAAGTGCTTTAAGGAAAGATGCCCAGAAGCCAGGGACCTCCATTGAGTGAGGTCATCCTGGCTTCTAATAGCAAAGCAGGCATCTGGGAAAGAGGCTGAGAACTACACAGATGGTTCTTCAACCTCTAACTCCCAAGCTTGGCCAATAACCTTGACTATTTCTAACATTGCCCGGTGACAGGCATGAAGTGCTGTGTTCCAGGGGCATTTACATTGTCATGGGTTTGTCAGCAGCGTCTTCTCACCAAACCTTGGCCCCCCTTGCCCAGGGCTTTGTCTTGGCAGGTGGCCTGAGGCCTGCCAACACTGAGTCAGGCACAGGGGAGGGAGAACTTAGATGCTTTGACCTCTACCTAGTGCCCTCATAGCAGTGTCCTCTCCATTGTAATATTATCATTCAGCCCCTCAGCTGTTTCCCCTTCCTCATAGCTGTCTCTAGAAAGGACAGGTAGGGTCTGGTTTCCTTGAGGAGGAAGAAGAGCTGAAGCCCCAACTCAGGATAATGCAGGAGGCTGGCAGCAGAGCTGAGGATGGTGCCCAAAGATGACAGCCTACTTTGGATAAAGGTGGCTGCCCCACCACATATGCTCCTATCTTCTTGGACTTTTCCCCCCTTCTCAAGGGGCAAGAACACCAATTAAACACAACAGTTATCCTTTGGAGGCCTAAATATCTGCTCTGAGTATGCAAAAATATTAGGGGAATAGGAATGTAGTGAGATGAGGACAGCACACCAAGAAATAGACCCTATCTTCCCCATCCCCAAATACACACAGCTTCTCAGATTCTGCTATGGAACCCTGCTCAATCAGGACCCCTTAGCCTACCTTAGAACCCCCAAATTCTTAGAAAAAAAGCGACCTCGGAGAGCTGCCAAATGAGAACGAGATGATGTAGGCTGGCAGCACACAGAGGACTAAGTAAACATTTGACTGAGGGCTGAGGAACACTCCAAGGGCACCCAGTCCCAGGACCTTGAAGTTGCTGCCCTCCTGTCAGCTAAAGGGATAACATGACGTGGACCAAGAAGAGGTGTAGGAATACAGGGCAGAAAGTCTAACTTCTATCACCAAAGGTCTTTTAGACATTATGTGAGATAGCAAGGCTGGAGAGACATTCTCAGGACTATTCCCCCTCAGCTGGTCTTTCTCAGGGGCACCAACTGGTAGATCTGTGGGCATCACCTAGAACACAGGTCAGTCATAAAGGCTTGTGGCACTTCTCAGAGCCAGGATGTCTGGCTCTACTATACTGCCTGCCTCTCCCTACTTGCCTTATATACCTAGTCCCCCCCCCCCCACACACACAGAGCAAGGCAGTAGGGGAGCAGAGGCTGCAAGTGAATTAGACACTGTGGTGCTATGTGGGAAGTGGGTTGCCTGAGCTCTGATCCTAGCACTATCACTAGTTTGAGTCAGAGGCTGTGTCACCTATAGCCCCATTGTCCAGACCTTATCTTACCCCTCAGATCACAGCTCAGACCTCTACTCTCTTCTACAGTCCATTGTGACACTGGATGGAGGCAAACTTGTCCACTTGCAGAAGTGGGACGGGCAAGAGACAACACTTGTGCGGGAGCTAAGTGATGGAAAACTTATCCTGGTAAGATGGGCAACTTTGGAGCCATATATAATTGGTAACTATTACAGCCCCTTAGCTAAGCCTGTCTTAAAAAGCCAAGGTTCTGGCTCGGCGCCTGTGGCTCAACCGGCTAAGGCACCAGCCACGTACACCTAGGGTGGCGGGTTCGAATCCCCACCCCGGACCCGCCAAAAAACAACAATGATGGCTGCAACCAAAAAATGGCCAGGCGTTGTGGCGGGCGCCTGTGGTCCCAGCTACTTGGGAGGCGGAGGCAGGAGACTCGCTTGAG